AATATTTGAAAATAAGTTGCGCCAGGAATTAGACCGCACTATAACAGTTATATTTATTAACTAACTACCCAACTAATAACTAATTTACACAAAACAAATTCATGTTCCTCCATGATGCTCTACAGCTCCTCTTTGCTCGGAGGCTGCAGCGGGAATTCCTGGATCCATTCTGGGATCTGCTGTTGGAACAGTCTCAGGCGGTCTGCCTTGAGGTGCTGAGCCAGACTGGGAGCCGAGCTAAAGGCCAGGTACTGACCCTTGACGGGGTCATAGGGCGGCCATGTCGGGGGCTCCTTGCCACTGGCTTCTTTTGGCACTTCCGGTTTTCTGGGGATAGAGAGGCAAGGGAGGATGGAGAGAATGAAAAGCCTGCACAATGAGAACCTAGAGTGTCCCCCACCCAAACCCCCCCCTAAAAAAAAAACACCTTCGACTTCTACATCCCCAAACTGCACACCAGCTGATATTTTTCTAAAACACCTTGCACTCAAGAGATCCAAATTTAATAGCAACACCCCTCCCCCACCAGTAAAACACGTTAAAAAGACAACATCGAAAAATGTGCCGACAAAAAACAGAAACTATAATTTCAAAAACACTTTTGAAAAAGAATTAAAAACAGCGATCCTCACATCTGCCATCTCCAGTTCCCACAAAACAAACAATAAAACAGGCCGACCACCTCACCACAAAATAACCATAGCTAAATGAAGAGAGCAAAGAAATAATTTGTGTCGCGACGCGATGGAATCAGGCGCTCGTTAATTTTTGGGAATATGGATTTATTGGTATCACCTTAAAGCTTGCTTACTTGTCTTGCTTTGATTGGAAAATGAAACCCATCTATCTTTAACCCTTCCAGCCCCGGCCATTTTTGTGCACTCCCTAACCCCAGTCCCAACCAATACAGCAGTAGTTCAGAAAAAGAGGCATTCATTCTAAAAAGTGATGCAGTATCTTTGTAATGTAACTTTGATAATACATATAACAATTTCTAAAGATAAATGAATAAATAATAAGAAGATTAAAGTTTAATTAAGTTCGCTAATTTCGAAAAGTGCGCAAATTCAGTACCCCCCGAAACTGAGAATATACGCTCTTGGGATGGAGGGAGGTACAGGCGCTGCTGAATAGAAGTCGAGATATTTGGAGTTGAAGTAGTTGGGGGTCACCTGGTTTTAGTAGTAAAACAAGCAAGAAAATTGCCGCCAAATCTGGTGACTCCCATAGCTAAAGAGTCCTGAAAACTGAACATTTACATTTGTCATGCCTTCAATCCATATTGTTCAAAGAAATCAAGCAGAAAGACGTTTTAAATTGGACCTTACAGAGGTTGTGCCAAAAAAACGAAATTCTTTAAAAATCACCAAACGCCCAGAAACATACTAAAGTTGTTTTTTTGATTTTTTTTTTTTCTTTTTGGACGAGCACCAGATTTCACCATGATACCTCACATATCTAAACCAAAATCAGCAACCGGAGAAAACGTCAGCAAATACACACATTGCCTCGGATTCACAAAAATAGACAGTAACAGTAACAAAATTCAATAATAATTAACAAAGAAGAAACACTACTCAAGACAATAAGCCCCTTCAACAAACAAACAAACAAACAAACAAACAAACAAATAAACAAACACACACAAAAATATCCTTGAAATAAGGTCTTCTCACCCTGTCTTTACAAAAGACGAGACCAGTTGGCCATACTTGGCCTTAAGGTCTGTATCTTCCTGGCTCCATTTGCTGCTGTCGATCTGATGTAAAGTTTTTATCCTCATCATTTAGATCAGGGTTATATTTTTTTTTAAGATTTTTATTTTTCAATTTTTAAAAAAATAAAAAATTTGGAGGGGGGTTGTGGGGGAGGGGTTGTAGGAGAGAGGGTGATTCTGCCAATTCATAAAAGTATGAATGGAATCAAGGAAGGAAAGTAAATAATAAAGAGCAAAAATGTATGAAGATATGACTCATATGATAGAAGTAACTAATTGCAAAATATCATGAACTATAGAATTGGCAAACTGTGTGAAAGAATTAATTAATTAGTGAATGAATGAAAGGATGAATGAATGAATGAATGAATGAATGAATGAATGAATGAATGAATGAATGAATGAAGGAATGAAGGAATGAAGGAATGGATGAATTTTCGACAACATAACTAATCACTTATTACCCTACCCCAAACCTGAAGAAAAGGAAGAGGATTGAAACCAATGAGCTCTTCATTCAGACGAAGTTGCACAATTTGGATGTGGATGTTTAGTGAATGCTCTTGTGTATTTTGCTCCTTTTCTATCAAACATCTGTTGTCTTTCTCTCTTTTCTTTATTTTTGAACCATAGTAACATCTTTACTCTTCGGAACGTATATACACAAACTGTGTTACATGCACCATAAAACTGTTATTGAAATTAAGCTGAACGAAGCACTACTTCATACTTTCTACCTCTCAGATCCAGATTTACCCCTACCTTCCACCACGCTGCCCGCAAAAGAGGCAAAATACCTATACCCAAAATCACACAAATACATAAACATACGTACATGCAAGGACACATACACATACCAATGCACTTAACTACAAATTAAGAAGTAAGGAAAAACTCCACAAGGAGAACAGACAGCAACTAAAATCAAGAAAGATATTCCAAACAAAACAGAGGTTGGAATTTTTTATTTTTTTAAGAAAAGAAAAGAACAGAATGACAAAAAGAAATCAATTGAACTAATCTAAATGTTTTACCTTGAAATCGACCCATTTCTTGATCTCGTTTATATCGATATCGAACAGGTAGAACAGATCCATCACGTGACACATTCCTTTGTTCTTTTCGGTCATGAACTCTGCAAAGTTGACGAAGCGAAGAAGCCATGCCTGTAGGGTCAAGAGGAAAACAAATAATAGAAATAAAAAACAACGAAAAGAAGAACAAGAACAAGAACAAGAACAAGAACAAGAACAAGAAGAATATTAAAGTACATGTACTGCCTGTTAATATATTGTTTTTTGTTTGTGGGATGTGCTAGCAAAGCTTGCAAAGCCTTGCTTCATCAACATTTTAAATATAGTTCTTTATATTAGCCGCTTTAAAACACCCTTACAAAGATAGCAACATAGTTACTACAATTGTTTCCTTTACACTTGTACTACCTTCTGCCTCTCTATAAATTACCCCCCATGGCGGTGCTACTGACTGAAGTGTCTTTAAGCCATTCCCAAAGGGGGGTGGGGGGGGGGCATTAACATCCCGAGTTCTTGTGCACAGTAAAATTGTAATTGTAAATGGGCTGATTCGTCAATGTCACGCTCATAACTGTGCCTGAACTGCAACAGGGAACTGATGCTTTTTCTTTCCTAATCCTTACTATCATCATTTTTCCTCACCTCTTTTGTATGTTTGTCACACTTTTGTGATCCCCTATTTCTGGGGTGCCTTGATAATCGAAGCAGACTTTGTGCTTTTGAAGCTAGAGAGGTGAGCACAGTAAGCCTGATTCCCTGTAATGACTTCTCTGTTGACATTCACCCCTTGGCTCATATGACCTTATGCAGTTGCAAGCGGGAAACCTGATTCTTTTTTCGTATTCATCCTAGTATTGTTGCTTTACACGAGACCGTCATGAGTTAACGTAGAGAGGCCAATATTTGGCTGTGAAGACCCACAACTGACAGTACAGGAATATCGAGAATTTTGCTTTACTGACGCCCTTCGTCACAATATGTCTATTCTATCTATCTATCTATATATCTGTCTGTCTATCTATCCATCCATCTATCTATCTATCTATCTATCGATCTATCGATCTATCGATCAATCTATCTATCTATCTATCTATCTATCTATCTACCTATCTACCTATCTAGCTATCTATCTATCTATCTATCTATCTATCTATCTATCTATCTATCTATCTATCTATCTATCTATCTTTCTATCTATCTATCTCTCTATGTTTTAGCTTTCTGTGTTTGTATGCGAGTGTATGTGTGTGCGTGTCTGTGTGCGTGCGTGTGTGCGTGCGTGTGTGCGTGCGTTTGTATGCACACTATGCGTGTATTCGTAGATATCCACTCCGCTCCCCGTGTGTCCCCTCTGCGGGTCTATTATAACACTGTCTAGCTGTGAGTGATTGGTGCTTGTTCTTTCCTGTCAAACATATGACTCTAACTTCCTTACGGTTTTTTTCTTTTTGCATTTGTTATTCTCTAGTAACGTCTTTAAATTTCAGCACTTATATAACCTGTTTATTAATTGTGAGGCAGCGTGGTGGAATCAGGCTCTCGTGAAGTTTTGGGTATGTAGAGTTATTGATATCATCTTAAAACTTATTAATTTTTCTTTATTTGGATGAAAGAAATATTATCCATTTATCTTGAATACAAGTCGAGATATTAGCTTAAGAGTCCGTGGTCACTGAAAATTTACATTTTTATGAGCCTGTAATCAATGTTTTTCAGAAAAATCCACACAGAAATTAGTTTTTTAATGGGCATGAAAGGTGTTGAGCCAAAACACAAAAATTGTATAAAAATTCACAATCCTGCGAAAAAATGCAAGTTTTTTTCACTTTGATTATTTTGACGAGAGCCTGGTTCCATCACGCTGCCTCACAATTGTGCTGTAAGAGCCGTAAAAGTTTTACTTAAAGAAAAGTACCTTGCTCTGATTGGCACTACCTGAGGCGGCGTTGATGTACTCAAGACTGGGGATGATGAAGAAACTGTCTGCGCTGAAATCTGCTACTGGGCTCACCTACAAGCGAATTATATTTTTTAAAATCCCAAAAATATTTATGTGTGCAAAGAGGGGAGGGGGGTGTGAGGGTTCACTTATTGTACGCTCAAAAATTTGTGGCCCAATCTATCCTCAAATATCTCTTAAACGAGTGACTCAATGCTACCCATACTCTGCAGAGCGGTTTGTATTAATTTGTCTTAACTTGATAATATTTTTTAACAGCAATTGAGACTAGATTTTTCAAAAACCCCTTCATAAATTTATAGAAAATGTTAAAACCTCCGTCTCGCACAAAATGGAAGTGTTCACAGCACTTCCCGCGTCTCACACACATTTTGCATAGTAAGCAAATTATGGCCTACGTCACAGTTCATTAATGACAGGTTTTATTGGCAAAACTGTTGACAAGAAATTTATTTTAAAGTGAAAACATGTTCTGCACTTATGGTTCAGAAAAACATGCATTCAATAAAGATAGGGATACGATTTTCTAAGAAAATCAAATCTGATGAAGCCACCCACATAGATTTATTGTATAAGTATTTGTTAAGGAATTCTCTAGACTGCAGCTAACAGATGTTTACAAAAATAAAGGTCTCTTCGGACAAATTGATACAAGCCATTGTGCAAATGCTGGAGAATTTATGTTTGATAGTTTAGAAAATATTTGACAATAAGTTGCGCCACAGATTTTTTTGCCGCACTATAAAAAGAAACAAAAGAAAGAAACGAACAAAAAATACTCCAAAATTGTTGAGTATATGGAGGGGTCTTAAGAGGGATCGTTGACTATTGTGAATTTCTGTTTAAGTTACGAGAACATTTCCTAGAAACTTTAAAGGTAAGGGGTTGGGCCAGGGGTGAGAGGAGGAGTGAGGCGGGTAGGGGGATACCCTTATTCAAACATAGAGAGAGCTTTGAAATTCTAATTTTAGTGCAACAGATCGACATAGGAACGGCATTTAAATCTCGGTGGAAACAAGTGAATAAATAAATAGATTTTAAAATAGATAAATGAATACATAGACGGATAAAGAAAGAAAGAAAGAAAGAAAGAAGGAAAGAAAGAAATAGACCCTGATAGGTAAGTATGATCGGAAGTCCGCCTCTTAAAGGACCTCATGTATGTTGTTTAAAATTAAAAACACACGAATTTAAAATTATCTTTAAAAATTGTGACCCCCCCCCCCCTCAGACATCCTAATCCCGGTCAACCTACCTCAAAGTTCTCCTGGTAGTACTCTGCGACCTTTGCCACTACCTCAGGACTGACCTGGCCATAGCCAGACTTAAGCAGTTCGGAGATCAGGCCGTAGAACAAGGCGTCTGGAGGTATGGATGCCAGCTGAGGAAAAAAAAAGGGAAAGGGTTTCATTGTGTTATTGTTTCAGGAAGCAACATCCCTGCATTCCAGACATGTCCATTGTTGCTCCATTGCTCTCTCCAAAATGTCGCTGAGGGTCTTTTTGTGATTGTTCCAGTGCATATCTGGTTGGACGTTCTTCTTTTCATTCCTGCAAGGATGCCAGATTTTCCGCTTCCTTTTTGTATTCCCAAAACCACCATCCTCTCTACAGCTGCTGCTGTAATGGCTTCTGCCTCCTTATCTTCCTCTTTAATCAGGTGGCGAGAGAGACATTTCAGGATCTCGACCTTGTCTGATTGAATTGTGTTGTCAACTGAGGTGGACTCACCAGCCAGTCTGTAGGTATTTCATTTCTTTTATAAACGCCTGCCTGCATGGCCAGGGCAGAAAATCCATGTGAGCGATCGTTTTGGTGTTGCTTCGATCAGTTGAAAGGATGAGGGGACAAAAGACGAGATAGCGGGAAAGTGCGGGAGGGTGGGGGAGGGGTGGGGAGATGGGCGAGAGAGGATTGGGAATGAGCAATAAGAGAACTTGTAATGAATGGTTGACGACGACGTGACACGCGAACAGGCAACAACATGATATTATGTACATACTGGTAGGTATTTATTCACTTGAAATGCAATGTAAAAGATAAAATAGGTTTAGATAAGATAAGCTAAGATAAGATAAGATAAGATAGGACATGATAAGATAAGATAAGACAAATAAGATCAGGTAAGATAAGATAAGATAAGATCAGAAAATATACAATATATCTTTATTGTCCAAATCCTGGCACATTGGTTTGGTGATTCACCTATAAGTACACACACCCACACCCACACCCACACCTACCTACTAACCCACACACACACACTCACGCATATACACTAACAGACAGACAGACAGACATACACAACAGACAGACAGACACACACACACACACACACACACACACACACACACATACATGTCCATTCTCTTAATATTAATGTATCTCAAAATACGCACGACTACACTGTTGCGTTTCTTTACTTTTGCGCCATTTTACCAAGTCTGATTCCTGAAGGTCAACTTTGCACGATCTCAGACGCATCTTACCGCAGAAAAAATATTAATGTGTCAGATGATGCAGAATGAAAATTTAGCGTTTACTTGGTTTGCTGCATGAGTGGGTAGTGAAAGGTTTTAACACGATGTTATAAGTTTCTTTTGGATGCCACTTGTTATGTATCTTAAGTTTTCTATATGTATGTACAGAGAGAAGGGGATAGGAGAGAGAGAGAGAGAGAGAGAGAGAGAGAGAGAGAAAGAGAGAGAGAGAGAGAGAGAGACAGACAGACAGACAGACAGAGACAGACAGACAGACAGACAGACAGACAGACAGACAGACAGACAGACA